GTTACCAAGTATTTTGACAGATAAGATTCGTTCCAAATTATACAAAAGATATAAAAAAGAAACTGGAAATGAGCCATAGCAATTATCAGAAGTGCATGCATCGGAAGCCGGTCTTCTCATAAATTCGAAGCCAGAAAACAAAGTATCCTATTTATCTTCTTCTGAGCAATGTAAAGAAAAAGGGCCTATCACCTTCGAAGCCAGACCCGATCCAGAATTAATTATCAAATCTGTCTTAGAGCATTTCACATACCTAAATTCCGAAATAACTTTAGAGGGATTGATAATTATAATTTTGCATCACCTCAACCGTGAAGCTCACCATGCCCTATTTGCGATGGAAAACATGGGAATTATGGATTACATGGTTCATGATACCGCAAAAATGGGAACCAGCTCCCTTATGATCCTGAATTAGCGAAGTTGTATTCCCAAGATAAGCTGGAATATTGTCTTACCTACAATACTTCAAGCAATAAACTCAAGTTCGCAATTGTGGCATAGAAGCTTCATCATTTAGTCTCATTTTTTTTCATATATTAATAAAGTACCGTGAAGATTTTCACCTGTGATGTCAGATTGTGACCGATCTTTTATATGCAATATTGCAAAACGTGATTCTAGTCCGCCAATTGCCGGGGACAATTTCTACTGAATATAGTATAGTGCTGTCAAAATTTTTTGTGCAATTTGCTTATACCCATTTTTTTTTCTTTTCTTTTGTAGTACAAAATTTTATATATAATAAATCATGTCTTATATTCTAAACTGTTTCGTGTTAGGCGAGGATCCTTTCGAAAAAATTTTTCAGTTTTTTCTCGATACTAATAAAATTCAGACTATAGGGTTGCTTAAGGATGCTATCATAACGAGTCAGAAGCTTAACGTTGCAACCAAAGAAGTCAAGTTATGGAAGGTCGATTTTCCCCTTACCGGTGTCAATGAGGAAGAAAAACTAGATATCATTAATAAATGTACAAATGTTAATGTTAATATTGGAAACGAACTTGATGGTGTAGAACTGCCAACACTTTCGATGTCTAGCAATGAATTTACCGAACAGCAGAATCTACAACATGCACATATTATTGTACAACTTTCTGCCGGTAAGTGAAACTCATTTTCGCCCACACCGTGTCATATTCGCCAATAATACCGAATACTTACTTATTCTTGTGCTTTTCTTTCCTGCTTCTTATCGTCAAACCCGCCCAAAAAACA